AAATAGGATATTATTGTTTTTTCAGGATGTTCATCATTAACATCAATGAATATAGACAATCTACAATTTATTAGTAAAGAAAGAATATTTATGAGTGAACCAGTGTTAATTAGTATTAAAATACCAGATAATCTACAAATAATCAATGGAAAGAATATTGAAAAGAAAAATATTAATGAATTTATTATTCCATCATCAATTAATAAATTAGGAAGTTATTGTTTTAATGGATGTTCATCATTAACATCAATTAATATACCATCATCAATTAAAGAAATAGGAGATTATTGTTTTTTAGGTTGTTCATCATTAAAATCAATTAATATACCAACAACAATTAATGAATTAGGAAATGGTTGTTTTAAAGAATGTTCAACATTAAAATCAATTAATATACCATCATCAATTAGTAAAATAGGAAATGGATGTTTTGGACATTGTTCATCATTAACATCAATTAATATACTATTATCAATTAACGAATTAGGAAATTATTGTTTTGAAAGCTGTAAATCATTAAAATCAATTAATATTCCATCATCAATTACTAAATTAGGAGATAGTTGTTTTTGTAAATGCTCATCATTACAATCAATTAATATACCATCATCTGTGAGTGAAATAGGAAATTGGTGTTTTGAAGGATGTACATCATTAACATCTATGAATATACCATCATCTGTTAGTAAATTAGGATATGATTGTTTTAAAGAATGCTATTCATTAACATCAATTAGTATACCATCATCAATTACATCATTTGGATGGGGATGTTTTTATAAATGTGGATGTGAAGATGAATTAAAGAAAAATGAAACAATACCAAGAAATTGCTTTAAAGAATGGTGGTTAATGAAATAAAAATACAATAAAAGAAATACAATATAATTTGAAGTAGAAATAAATTATAATTGATTATCATTTATATTATTATTATTCTTTTCTTATTTATTCTTTTTGATATTATTCTTTTTTATTGTGTTAAAATATTTATTATTATTTATTGTATATGTTTATTATTTCTTATATCTTCTATTTTATCTTATTTATTTATTATCTTTTATATCTTTATTATTATTTTATTATTGTTGATTATTCTTATATTCTATAT